CTATATTCTGCTAGATAAACGCCTGGATATCGTGTCTAAAACACAATGGTCTTGGTTGAAGTTATGATGTTTCCTCCTCTGTGTGCCCATTTTTTTCATTAGGGAAGAAGAAAATGAAAGATGGAGGTACAGCAGGAGACTAGGCCAATAAGAAAAGAGCCTCAGTGTCACTTAATCTGCATCTTGCCACTTCGTTATCCTCTTAGTTCCCAGGCTATTTTATGCCTTGTGAAGCAGCTTTCCGTGCCCAGGTTCCAGTGTCTTCCCTGTGTTAATTTGTGAGCGACAAACAAGTGTAGTTAGTCAGAAATAGTGTTCGGTGTTGAGTGGTTCGGTCTCTGGGTCTGACTCAGCCGTTGCGCAATGAAGAGCTCTCTCTGCGCCTGGGGACTGGGTTTTGTGTGGAGGATATGATGGTAAACAATAAAGCAAACCAAGTTTTGGTTAAAATGTTGGGAATATGGTATGCTTCTACTGCTGTGAACCAGAGAGGATTGTACCAATAGGTGGGTAAAAATTAAAGTTTTAAAATATGTTGAAATACTTAGTTAATTCTGGAGTTACAAAGAATTTAATAAATAGTGCCTGAAATGAAAACCCAGTTAATTTTTTTTTTTCTTAGACAGAAGGATATTCATGGCTTGCTACCTATGTAATATTTGAGAAGGGTGTGTTTCATGAAAATGGCATTAAAATTAAAGATGCTGGTTTTAGTGTTTATCACTGTGATGCAGCTTGACTGTCACAGTGTGGTGGCTTTTTAAAAATTAAGTCATTTTTAGGAGATTTACAGTTTCTCAGCTGCATGTTTTTTGCTGAAAATGTTTTGTTTACCTGTTCTTCCTTATATGAAGACTGTGGCTTGAGGTGTACATGACATCATCAGTCTAAATCTTAGATAACTGAACTATGAAACACTTCATGTTTTTACAGATCTGACAGTTTTTCATATTTTTAATGGACAAGTGATGTGGAGACATAAAATAACATATGGTAGGAAACTGGTACTATATGATTAAATTTTGCAGTTTCGCACTGTCTCCATGTGACCTTGAATAATCATATCATGCTTATTCATGATTTAATAAATGAAAAAAATGTGTACTTGGCCTAGAAAGCCAGTCTGTTATGATGTTTTAGACTATATTGTATTTATAAGATAAGAGTATTTTTAAAAATTGAAGTTATTTAAAATTTTAATTACTGAATGAAAACCTAATTCATACTTCCTGATGTGATTTCAATGTACATTAGGAACAAAACAATTTTAGAGTTTGAAAAGGTAAAATACTTTATCAGTATAGAACTTCTTTACAAGAAGTTGACATTTTCTCATAAACATTAGTATGTTTGGATAATAAATAGAGTCTGCTTTTATCATGCTTCATTTAAACTTCAATAACAAATAGAAGTATATATCATAAATTGCAAGAGATTCCTTTAGTTTATATTTATTGAGGAATAAATGGTGCAGTATGTATACTGAGATTGGTTCACAAGATTATGTGGACAAAAACTCACTCTGGAGAAATCAAATTATTTAATAGCTGAGTTTTCAGCCACAGAGTTAAACTTTCACGTGCACTGTAATCCCATAAATCTTTCTGTATTTTATGTAAGTGAAACTATTGCAGGGGGCTACGGTTCGTTGTTACTGTGAATGAAAAATACTCTTTTGTCATAGTTTTACTTGTATTTGACCAAAATTATGTAAGTCTAATCAGTACAAAGTAAGTTATTTACTTATCAGTTTTACTCTCTAACATGTTTAGCTCTGTGGAAAGTCAATACACTGGACCTGCCTTGGCTATAATATCAATGTCACACTAATACTTACCAGCTGTTCTTTTGGAGATGATTGTTTGAAAATTCTTTGCCTTTTAAATGACCAAGTAATTTCAGCCACTGCTTGAGAGAAATGCAGATGAGATGCTTTCTGATAATCTTTCTTCTCAGAGATTGAAATGATAAAGGTTTAAAGTTGGCACTGTAGAAACTATCTGTTAAGTGCGGTTTAAAGAATGGGAGTACAACCAGCTGCTTCTATATCTGAGAAAGGTTCTCTGGCAAAATATAACAATCTTTCCATTCTTAATTACTACTAATAAGTAATACACCTGCCAGTGAAAGCAGGTTTCTGCAGATTGCTGTTCAGTAAAGACAATGTGACCTTCTTTATGTTTTTTGGACATCTTAGTGTTGCATCATTTCAGGAACAAAGTGCAACTAGCACATTTGCTGTTCTTCCTTGTCACAGAAGTAAATTGTGAGGAAACAGTGTGATTTGCATGCGTATGCTCAAGAGAGTTAGCATAATGCTGTTGTGTTTGCTAAGGAGAGCAATAATGTGGTGCAGTTCTGCTAAATGACAGTGCAAACTTGCCCTTTGTGTGCAGTTGTTTAGGTCGTATAATAGTACTGTGATTCTCTTAGTGTACTTAAGGTTTCCTCTCACAAAGTGCCTTTTAGCTTTCATTACTTATTTTACTTTTTATTTCTGTACTTGAAACTCCATGGATACACTTTTTCTTGTATTTCCTGCAGAATGCTGGTACTCTAGTCCCAGTGTCATGTCTTGGGAGCTCGCTCTTATCAGTATTGTAGCACCCTGCTACCTGTAGAGGCAACAAGACTGCAGGGAAGTGTATTTTGCTTGGTAGCTTTTCTCTCACCTGTCGATATGCTGACCGTTGTGGGGCAGGCACGTCATGAAATTGTCAAGACATTCCTCTATTTCTTGGAACGTACTAGAAGCAGTTCTACATCTGCTTAGGCTCATGAAGCTGCTTACATCTGTGGCAGTCCTAAGCACCTGTGATACTTTTTTGAAGATCAGCATACAGAAATAACTATTTGTCTTGATTTCTTGTAGATTAATGTTCTTTAAATGTTTAGATGACTGTTTCTGTATGTATTAGGGACAGACTTTTTAGCAGGGCCTGTAGCAATAGGAGAAGGAGTAATTGTTTTAAACTAAAAGAGGGTCGGTTCAGACTAGATGCAAGTTAGACATTTTTTACGACGAGGGTGGTGAAGCACTGGCACAGGTTGCCCAGGGAGGTGGTAGATGCCCCATCCCTGGAAACATTCAAGGCCAGGTTGGACAGGGCTGTGAGCCACCTGGTTGAGTTGAAGATGTCCCTGCTCATGGCAGAGGCATTGCACTAGATGACCTTTAAAGGTGCCTTCCCACCCAAAGGGTTCTATGATTCTGTGATTGCCGCACAACCAAGAGCCAGGAGGTGGTAAGCCAGATAAGGGAATTGATCCATCTAGGAACGAGGGGGAGAAGAGAAAGAAAATCAGTTCAGTTTTCCTTCTGCATCAGTTTTCTTATCTCACTCACTTTGTAAATGCACAATAGCTGATAATGATGCAAGTGAGGATGCTGCAGCACGGGCGGGCCGGGTGTTAAGGGGGAAGTTAAACTTGCTCTGTGCAGCCTGGAGTTGTGTTCGCTTAAGGTGACCCTGGAACTGCAGCTTTGGCGTGGGTGTTCCCTGTGCTACTCTGCGGTGTGGCTAGTGATTGCACTGCTTGTACAGAGGAGGAGGAGGACATATTTTCACTGATGTTACTCTTCTAGTTAGACTCTAAAAATATTTTACAGGAAGATGCAAACCCCTTCCACTCCTCCAGCTCTACTTCAGATACTAATCTTTCGTTAAAACTTTTCCAAGCTTTCTGCTGATGAGGGTAAGGTGTTGTGTAGTTTGTGATGCATTATATGGCATGCCTGCTGAGTAGTTACAACTAGTTCATGCTTATTGTAGGTTACCTAAGTTACTGTTTTGATTAAATTACTACTACTAATGGCAGAAATAGGAAAAGAAATCAATAAAATTTAACTTGACATCTAAATTTTTTTTAGGGCTCTTCTGTTCTTAAGCCTTACAGGATTATTATTGTTTCTGTAGACTAAACCAGGCCAAATAGCTCAAGTTAAACCTATTAGAAAGCTGGTGTGGATTTAAAGGCTCAGAACCATCTGGGAATGGGATCACACGTAGTGGTTCTTAATATAGACAGCTTTGTCATTACATATCTGTTTGAGAACCAATTAATTTGCACTGACCTAAAGCAGTGTTGTGACACACTTGCATATGTAAAAAGGTTAAAAGTATTGTTGAGCAGAAATGTAATATTTATATATATATTTAATTTCAAGGATAAGACATAAGGAGACTGTCAATTGTGTATAATGTTTTGAAAGGAATCACAAGTCATTCTTCTGCTATTTCTATTCACCTTTGCCTAGCACCTTGTATTACTCATTGATAGGTTTTGAGTTTTGTTGTTTTCCTCTTCATTAAATTAGCTTGTAAATTCCTGAGTATAAACTGTCTTCCAGGTTTGTATATCACTCCCCAGTGTTGACTGGATTTCTAAGTGCATCTACAGTATAAATAAAAAAGAGAAAAAACTATTCTATATTTGGAAAAAAATTAATGCTGAGATACAGTGTTTGAACGGCACACTAAAATTTAGACTTATTCCTGTATAAGAAGGCTAAATATTTCAAATAGGAATTTTTCAAGAGCAGCCAAGTACTAAATTATTTTATTTTCCATTGAAGTTCTGGGAATTTTTTTTTTTTTAATGCTACTTTGCATCCGTTAAGAGGGTTTAAATACTGGATACCTTGGGAAAATAAGATATTGCACATATAATCTACCTGCTCAATTCACCAGGAAGAAATATGTGAAAATGAAGAGACGACTGGAGCCTTTAGCAGTGGGAAAAGTTCATTTCTGTATTTCTAAACACTTGTGATGATGTTATTGGTGTTACACTCGTAGAGGGTGAATAATTAAGATGTTTCTGTAGATTCAGAAAGTAAATTTGGACCTTTATTTTGCTATGCTTGTATATTTAATTATTATATGCAGGAGTCAGGCATAAAAAAATTAATGTCACTTTTCTTTGTGACAAAATACTGCTGAATTATAATATGGTCTAGATATTACCAAAAATTAATTTTATTATTGTTGATTATACAGTGGAAGAATCCGACATCATTGATCTTGAAAAACGATACTGGCTGCTAAAAGCTCAATCAAGAACTGGACGTTTTGATTTAGAAACATTTGCTCCCTTAGTTTCCCCTCCTATTCATCCATCTCTGAGTGAAGGTATGGAACTTTGATCAAACGTGTGTGGAAGTGATGTTGCTGTGGTGTCACTACCTGGTGGTGTGCTGACATACAAATTTTAGGGGTCTAAAAGCGGGCCTGTTTTAAAATCTATTAGAAGTTTAAATTACAGATATTCATCCTGCTGAGTTTGGAATGTTTGAAAATGAGAAAAGATGACTGAGAAATCTCTTATTTGTTGGGAAATCTGGGTGACGAAGGAAGTGATGCTTCTGTGTGTTGCAGTCTTACTAGTTGTCAGGAAATATGGCAAACATTTGGTATAATCTGCCCTGCTTAAAATTTTTTCTTGGGTTCCTTAAGATTCTGTAATGACAAAGTATACTGCTGTCCCTTAATGACATCCAAAAGGAGACCACTGTTTAAAATGACAAATGGGAGTTTCATCTGTTAAATGACAGTTCAGCACGCTAGTCCAAAGCGGGAGCATGCAGTCAATGAAACGGTCTGCCCTAACAGCGTAAGCTAAGACAATTTTGTTCAGAAGTTTGGTCAGGAGATTGGTATGTTGCAGTGCAGACACACCAATAACCAAGCTGGTCGTTCAAGTTGACGCCACTCCAGGAATAGCTGGAGGTTGCAATTGTGTAATGGCCATTTACTCCACAACATACAGTCATTAAATAACATTGTACTTGTATGCTAGTTTTTGTCTGCAGTCCTAGAGTGACAGTTTTTTATCACCAATTAGTCAGCTTTACTGACAAGTGGCAGCAGTCAGTAGAAAATGGGAAATTCATCTGCTGTGGATGGATGCTTTTAGAACACCAGAACTGTGTTCAGTTCAACAGGGATATATCCCCATATCCTTGTGCTTGTCTGTGTGTTTTATCTCCTTAGTGATAGACATTTACATAGCTGCTATGGGGAAACTTGAATGGTTTCTGGTTGTTCCATGTGTCTTCTGTGGATAGTGCAACTGAGTCATTGTCACTAAAAAAATCTTTATGGGATACAAAGAAGTTATATGTGCTGAATGAATAGAACTCAAACACTTTGGGGGCTGGTAACTAAACTCCTAACTCAGGGCCAATTTTGCGAAGATATTCAGTGATTTTCATAGGAGTTTCTATCAAACACTTTGGAAAAGCCAAAGCATTTGGCTTCTGAGTACCTTTACTATTTTGGTCCTTCAGCTTTTGTGAAAGTGTTTGTCCTGACCACAGTGGTTTAGATGTACACTTCTGTAAATCAGTCATTACAGGGAAGGTGTGAGAATAAGGCAGCTGTGCAGATTCGCTATCCATCCCCGATCCTTGCCTTTGTCTAGCCGTGCATTGAGCGATCTTTAAGACGGTCTTAGTAGTGCTTAGTTATCTTTACTACACTTAGTAAGAATCAGTTACAAGTATTTGTACTTCTCCTTGAAAATGTTAACCATTAACCCTTCATGTAAATGCTAAGTATGATTGTCAGCTGTTTCAGCCAGATGCTGGAACAGGAGATGCTTTTCTGGTTTGCAGGTTTGTTTAATGCTTTTGACGAAAACCGAGACAATCACATAGATTTTAAAGAAATTTCCTGTGGGCTCTCAGCATGTTGCAGGGGACCCTTGGCAGAAAGACAGAAGTGTAAGTATGCGAAATGTTAACTATTAATTTTAGAGAAGTTTTATTGTTTGAGCAATGAAATTTGTTTGTTTCCACCTTTATAGAATTTTTTTCCACTCAACAAGTGTGTCTCTGTGAAAGGTGACAGACTTTAGAATTTAAAAAATTAAAGAAATTGTAAATATCAAGGCTTCCTTTTATAGAGGATGATTAAACCTAATTCTGTATATATTATAGCTTATATTCACAGCTTCATGTAGATTATTGACCTGTTTGGAAAAAGAAATTTGTATTTCAGAAGTTATTTTGCAGTGTTCTGCATTGTGATACACTAGTGTGTGTCTCAATACAGAAAGTGCAAACACTCATCTACTCATTATATAAAATATAAAACAAATGTCCTAGTTGGTTGCCTTGTGGTAAATACCATGTTCTGGCTTGTTTACTGTCCAGTTTTCAGCTGGCTCCCTGCAAGGTGCTTGTGTTTTGAAACACCTTTGTTCCATACTTTTCCAAAGCCATATTGTGGCAACTTAAAAGCTGTCGTTCACTGGAAAATTCTGGATGCACATATGTTCCCTGCTATGTCACATCAGAAAACACAGCGCAGAATTGCAGGAGTCTAGATTTCAGTTTATTAAACACAGCTGCTCCATTTCCTCACTACCACACATGCATCCTGCCTCATCAAAACTGTCAGCACTAAATCAAGTTCTTGTGACTCTGCAGACTTACATTCTGCAAGGAAAAAAAAAATAGTTGTTGAGTAGTTTGAACATAAAAAAGTGATTTCCTTTTTTCTCAGTTTGCTTCAAGGTTTTTGACGTTGACCGGGATGGTGTGTTGTCTCGCACTGAACTTAAAGAAATGGTGGTTGCACTTTTAGAGGTCTGGAAAGATAACCGTACTGATAAAATACCTGTAAGTTATATTTGGTTTTTGATTCATTTCCTCCTGTTTCATAAAGTCATCCTTCAAAAGTAGGAATGCAAGTGTTGTTTGAACATGGTTTCAGTGAAATACAGGCTTCCTTGAACTACCTGAGCGGGAGAGTATAGGTAACTGGATGGAACTTACCTTGCCTAACTTTGACTTCTGTTAAGCAAAGCAGAATGATTTGACTGTTATGTATGCTGTTTGATGTAAAGAAACCTTAGGTTCAAAAGTACAACTGTCTGGAAGCACTCAGTTGCCAATTACATAGAGGTATCATCAACTTTTCTTATAGTTGTGTTTTTATTCTGAACACATGCAGCTCCAGGGAGTGCTGTGAGGATTTGACTGTTTTCTAATCCTTTTGTTTGCTAAGGAATTGGACATGGATTTGTCTGAAATTGTACAAGACATTTTGAATATGCATGATACCACAAAGGTAGGAATTTGCTGTTCTTTCCTTGTCATTTTTATACCCTAGTATCTTCATTTTAATGATGAGAAACTAAAATCTTGTGCTCTCTTTAAAGCAGAGGTATGTCAATAAATGGCAGTTTTCCATGAGAACTTTGCACACCGTTGTGTGAGAGAAAGAACATGTTTGAATTTTATAAGCCATTTTTATATAGGAGAATAAACCAAAAATACATAAGCAGATTAAATTAATTTGAAGCATATACTGTTTGCAAGGCTTTTCTGTGCAGAATTAATACCAGGTTTCAGTCTGATGTTTGACTTTTGTTCTGGAGAAACTCTCTTCTTTTTCGTGTTAAAAATGATCTTATGAAAAAAGGGGTAGTGCATTCGTGTATCTTATATTTTATGCTATATGAAGACGACATGCTCCTATATTGGAACGGAGGTGTATTAATTCAATAATAACCTATGCATTCTCATTATCAAACCCCTTTGTTTGCAATAATTTTATATGCAGCCATTGAACTATAGAGGACAAGGTTGTTTCAGAACTAAGTAGCCATGAAAATATGGAGACATCTGTCATAGCTGTCGTGACACACAGCAAAAATTTAATAGTTTATATTGTTTATAACTTTATAGTTAGCTGTGTGTAAATCTTTAATTACATTCTTGTTTTTTTGAGATAGGCACAGTCATCAGCAAATGATACAGGGGAAATTGTTTCCATTATTTCATCCTTTGCTTTGCTAATTTGGAAGGGTGTCTGGCAACTGTAAATAATTTAAAAAAAACTGTAAAGAATGTCTAGAAACACTTAATTACTTGTTTGAATCGTTGTCTTGGCTGCTTGTACTCCCACAAAGTGGTGGGCAAATATTTTACTATAATTCCTTCATTACCAAAGCCATAGAAAATACGGCTTTGGTGAGTACTTTCTTTCATTCTTTGGGGGTTTTATTGTTTGCTTTTTTAAAAAGGGTAGTTTATAAGCAGGTGTATAGCAGTCTCATTTCCACAAACAGTTAAAAAAGAAGGCTAAGACTTCAGAACCTCTTTCATAGTTGCGTCATGAATGTAGTGCTAGAAAGAACTGATGGTGCGGTAATTACATAAATTACTTAACCTCTCTTCATATGTTAGCTTTGACCTGTGTGAACTTTGAAGAAAATGGTCTGTAAGAAGAGGCAGAGTAACTGCCACTGCTGTAAAAATGGCTATGAATTATATTGCAATATAAAAAATTCAGATTGGTCCTGTCACTGAGTTGTTGAAAATCAGAAGGTCCCTCTGACATCGCTCAGTGTTATGCTACTGTAACTTTGCAAGTGATTAGGAATTAACAGGACTTGTGGTGTAAGGTAAGATCATCAAGTCCTTATGATCCAAAATAGTTTTTCCTAACCCACAGAGGAAGGTGGTAGGTTTCTGAATGGATGCATGTTATCTATACGTACACAGCTTATTTGGACTATCAAAGTCTTAGTCTTGCTTTGTTTCCTACAACACGATTGCCCTGGCAAGTCACATTCTGCTTCTGCTGGCTTTGTGATTTGAGAAAGTGTGACTATTGCAGTTGGGCACGAATACTAAATCCAGATGATGGAGAGCAAGAGCGAAGGTTACATGTGTCATGTAGTTTGTCCTCTGTCCAAGCTTTTGGGTTCTTTAGATTGCATATGTTATGCTAAAACTGGATTTTTCTTCTATATCCGAGTCGTAAATGCTAATTTTTATCAAATCACTAACTTTGTCATGCCTTGTATGACACATTTAATTAGCATTGTGATAGAAATAGGTTAATGGTTTGATGGTTTCTCCTTCCCCTTCTCCTCCCTTGAACTAAGCTTGGACACCTCACTCTGGAGGACTACCAGATATGGAGCGTGAAGAGTGCACTTGCCAATGAATTTTTAAATCTGCTTTTTCAGGTATGTTTAGAGGAAATTTAAACTCGAAAGTTAGGGCAATTAACTTGTGATATTTTTGCGTGGCCACGAAGTGCAGCATCAATGTTTGTGTCAACATGCTTACAGTTCTGTGTGTTGCGATAAGTTAAGTGGTTTTGCAGTTACGTATTACCTCGATGGAATGAGTCACTCTTTGATTATTATTCTTTTTACTGTATGGAGATGCCTAAAACGTAATTTGTTAAAGTGAAGGTAGTGTACTGTTTATAAAATCTGTATCAGCAGTTATATTTTTCCATGAGCAAAAGGCTGTGTTCTTAAACAGTTGTTCTGGCAAATCTTTGCCAAGGAAGTGACCCAGGAAACGAGAAGAGGTACTGCGAACTCTTTACAGCCGCTTTGCCCGTACTGTTAAGGCTGTCTGAGGAACCTTTCGTTGGTTTCTTAATGAAACAGTCCTTGCAAGCTGTGATGTCATATCACTACGGTGTTGCAGAAGCTGAGGATTAAGCATGTACTGAATTTGTTTTTAATTGAGTTTGAATTGGATTTTTATAAATCCTTAAAACAGTCATATTTTAGTGCTGGGTCACTTTATGCAGCAAGTAACCCCATAAGAGTATTTTCATTCACTGCAGTTTGTTCCTTACCTATTTTCTGTAGAGGCTGATACTTGGAGTTTAAATAATAATAATAATCCTAATGGATCCTTGAAGGTTTTCCCCTAGTTTAGTATTCACATCCAGCCCTGTATGACAGTCTCAGTTCTGCCATGGAGGGCCAGGGAGAACCAATGGGCTCTGCTTTCATCTTGTGAGTGAAGCTTAATCAGTTACAGGGTCAGGTTGTAGCAGAAAAATATCTCATCAGAAATAAGCTATGGGGGTTTTAAAAGAATAAATAACTGTTGTGAGAGGCTACCTGATTAGCATACTACTGGTTCTCTTGTTTATGAACCTGGAATACTTCATAAATTGTATTTTGAACTATACTTTTCCAAGAACTTCAGGGCAACTGCATGTGGGTATTCTGAGTCCATCAGCTACGCCGCAGCTGAAAAGAATAAAATCAGAAAGTTCTGCAAATTCTTTTTGTCTCTAATTGCATGAGGCTTTGCTTACACTGCAGCCTTCCCAAGAACAGCTGTCTTTGGTTTTGGACTGTCTGGCATCAAATATCCTGTCATAACTTAATATTGATAAACTAACAAATACATGCAATACTGAGGCAGGGTGAATGAACATGTAATAAATTTGTCTTGATGATTACGCATCACAATTATTACACATTGCTTGTTGGAGGTCTCATTTATTGTATTTTTTCTCCTATCAGAGTTGCTACTTGATTTTAGATTTTTGTTTTATTTCCTTTGATAACATTATCATTTGAGGCACCTCACCCTGTGCTACAGGCTCAACACCATACTCGCACAGGACAGAGCCTGCCATTGATTTGTCTGGGCATTTATTTGAACTGTTGTGAGCCTGTGTGTCTCAACTGCAACCGGAAAATCTAAGTAGTCGAGTGGAGCACCTTGGAAGGCTTGTCAACAAATTGGTTTGTTTGCAGCGGGGTTAGTTTATATGAAGAATCTGATTCCTAGCACACTGTTACATGTGTCTAAAAAGAAACGTCAGAGTCAGTTGTGTTGAGTGCGATGGAAAATCTGTTGCTTCACAGAAGCTAATGGCCTTTTGTTTTATTCAGAATGTAAAATGGTCTCACACTGTAATATAAATTTAAATAATATATCTCACCAGTCATTAGAAATCTCCAGCTGGGATGCAAATTGGTAGCCTCTAAAGAGACATGCAGAAAAGACTATAAATCATGTTACGGGTAGCAACCAGTTTGAAACCCGCCTCAGAGATGAGACAGCTGACCCTCCTCCCTGCAGTAGAAACAAAGGCTCCTGCAGAGTCTGTTCCCCTCCGCTCATCGCTCCCTGCCGCAAGCCCCGTGGCTGGGAGCTGCTGGGAGAAACCAGCCAGAAACAGCCAGGATGGTTTTACTGGGAGGAGAGGAGTAGGATATTGGCCACCTGGGACTGCCCTCTTGTACTCGGGATAAACCACCACCCAAATCAAGTAGCCAGGCAGGGGATGGTGCCTTCTGCGGTTGTTTCAAGAAGAAAAAAAAAGCAAAAAAGAGCTCTCAGACATTCTGAGAACGTTCTACGATTCTGAGAGCATTTTCGGTGGTGACTGGTTGGTTGGACTGCTTTAAACTTCTCCCTTAGTCTCAGTTTTCCTTTCTGTCCCTCATACAACCACTTCTTTCCATTTTTCCCCTTTCTGTTTTGGCTGTTTTTTAGAACTTCAGTGTGTCCCCTTGCAACAGCATGCATTCTCCCAGTTCCTCCTTCCCTCTTTCCACTACGTATAGCCATCTTAACTGCTTGTAAGTCTGATCCGTGTCAGTTACTGTTGAGTTTTCATGGTGTCTGCTTCAGACCCGAAAGTAATGAAAATCCATTTGCTGTCCACCGTAATTTGCCTGGGGGCATTTGACACTCTTGGTGTCTTCGTCTTAACAGTGGGAAGAGGTTTTGAATCTCACAGCTCAAAATACTTGGGTTTTAGTGATTTGTTCAATTTTAGGTAATCTTGCTACCTAATTAAAAAGAATCTTCTGAAACATCCTATTACAGTTGTTATGTTCTTTCATTTACCTATTTCTTGTTTCATAGCGGTGTAGTTCTCTGTAAGAATTATGTTCTTTTTCCAGGTGTGTCATATAGTTTTGGGGCTACGACCTGCCACTCCAGAAGAGGAAGGACAGATTATTAGGTGCGTGTTTTGCTCAGAATCTTAAATGGGTTTCAGGATCACCTTTTAATATTTTTCAAAAGAAGGACTGTAATTGCCCTGTTTCAGCTGATATTTCATGTTGTTCATTCTTTATGTGCAGAGGCTGGCTAGAAAGAGAAAGCAGGTATGGCCTTCAGCCGGGGCATAACTGGTTTCTTATTGCAATGCCATGGTGGCACCAGTGGAAAGAATATGTCAAATACGTAAGTATAATAATAATGTGTGCTGAATAAGTGATTTCTTTGTGAATGTGTCAATGAAAGAAGAGTGAGGAGCACGTGACAGCTTAACCAATAATGCCTGAAATTAAGCATCTCCTGTCTCTTACCGGAAAATAATTGTTTTGCTGGATCATTGTCACATGCTGAGCTTTTCACTAAAATTTCCTTACATTGTCACTTCTTTCTGTACTTTCTTTCATCATTCCTGCACGTCAAAATACTTCTTTGAATATAAACATACTCGCAATACTGCTTCCCCTAAGTCTTTTGATCCATTTTGATAATAAAGCTACCTGTTTTGGTTTTGACTTCGCACAGGCCACAAGTACACACTCTGCATTTTCTGGACAAATGAAAGAGAGAACTGGTATAATTTCATTTATAGGCAGTGATGAACGGTGGTTCATTACCTGATGGGGATCA